TTCCTGTGCAGACACGAAGGCCAAACAGAAACCCACAGAGGGCAGTGCGCCGCCTTTGCTGTCATTCTGTCCACCAAGAACAATGGGGTTGGGACCAAAAAGAGACACTTTCTCGGGCTGCACGGCTACTCCACAAAGAAGCGCGTCCTTTCCGAGGCGAAGCCGTTCTCCTTCCTCCACACGGACTCTGTCGGATTCCGCGTTCCCGCATTTCATGTTCCCTGGTAAGGACTTTTCCTGCGGGAAGGAGGGAATGCGGACACAGCACGGCCGACCGCGGCGGCGTCTGTCCGGCTCCCTCAAGAGCCACGTCTCCCTCAAGAGCCACGACTGCACGGGGACATTCGCCACATCAGCCGTCACCAGACGGACGGGAGCCAGTGCAGAGCCCGCGCTGCGGAAATCAGTGTGTGACGTCCACTGTCATCAGACACACAGGAGGAAAAGTGTCGACAGAGAGAAACAGGCTCACTCTGCTTGTCTTTCACCTGATACACGACAAAAAGTTAGACTATAAAGCTAACCAGGGTTTTTCCTTCTTTTAAAAAATATATTTTTTATTTTTTATTTTTTTTAATATATTTTATTGATTTTTTACAGAGAGGAAGGGAGAGAGATAGAGAGTTAGAAACATCGATGAGAGAGAAACATCGATTAGCTGCCTCCTGCACACTCCCCACTGGAGATGTGCCCGCAACCGAGGTACATGCCCTTGACCGGAATCGAACCCGGGTCCCTTGTGTCCACAGGCTGACGCTCTATCCACTGAGCCAAACCAGTCAGGGCGAGGGACAGGTTGCTAAGTGATCGACGGTGATGGTTCCGTGTTACTGAGGGTGTGCTGCATAGCAGCAGTTGGGAGTGCTGTATGTACAGCTTTTTTAAATACATCTTTATCGATTTCAGAGAGGAAGAGAGAGAGAAACATCAATGATGAGAGAGGATCACGGATCGGCTGCCTCCTGCACGCCCCCCACTGGGGATCGAGCCCGCAACCCGGGCCTGTGCCCTGACCGGGAATCGAACCGTGACCTCCTGGTTACTACGTCGACATTCAACCCTGGGCCAGGCCGCTGGGCTCCACTGCTGTTCTTAAACCCTCTTTACTTGACTGATGACCGAGGGGATTGGAAAGAATCATGAAAATCCCTGGCTGTGAGGAAGCAAAGGAAAAGGCAGACGACACCCCCTCTCCGCGGTGCCCTTTGCAGCGAGCAGCGCGGACGTGACTGGCGGGCGAGACCGAAAGGGCAGAGGCCGCCTGGCGGCGATGAGCCGGGGATGTTTGCACAGCGCAGCCCGCTCATGGCGTCCCAGGCGCAGGGAGGCGGAGAGCGGGATTTCATCCCGAGTTTATCCGAGGGCCTCGTAAAGGTCAGGCACTGGAAGGACGCGAGAAATAAGAGGCAGCTAATCCTCAAACACACGCTGCTCCGGCTGTATGTGTGTGTGTGTGGGAGGAGAGGGGGAGAGGGGGGTGCTCCAGCACAAACGGTGGGTGGGACACGAGGAACACAGGCCGTTTCCTGTCCCCCCAGCATCATCTGGGGCCACCCTGTTATCTGCACCCGAGGGATTCCTCGCCCCGGGCTGTTTTTACAGGCTCCGCGTGGGGCCGTCCAGGCGTTGGTGTTGGGGTGTTGGCAAAGGAAGTCGCTTCCCAGACCTCCTGGGCCCTCCCCTTCCTGCAGCCTTTGCACTGCTCCCCCGGGGAGTCACCCCTTTGCTTTTGCACATTTGGGGACGTAAATAAGACCTGTTCTTGGGTGTTGGTGGCAAAGGGAATTCATGCAAATCTGTGACTCGCGCCCCTGCTTCCCCCGCATTTTGTTTATTGCCTAAGCAGGCAGACTTTCTTTTTTGTTGTTGTTAATCCTCACTTGATATATTTTTATATTTTTCCATTGATTTTTAGAGAGAGTGGAAGGGAGGGGGAGAGACAGAAACATCGATGTGAGAAAGACACATCAATTAGTTGCCTCCCACATCGCCCCAACCAGGGCCGGGGATCTAGGCCTGCAACTGAGGTATGTGCCCTTGACCGGAATCGAACCCAGGCCTCTGCAGCCTGCGGACGATGCTCTATCCGCTGAGCCACACCGGCAGGGCCAATCTGGAACCTTTGAGGGTGAGTGACACCGGTATTGTTTACAACGCGGATGCAAAGGCCGCCCGGCGCTGGATTTACCCTGCGCCTCTGCCAAGACCCGGGCAGCCCGGAGCAGCTGTGGGCAGATGAGGTGTGTGGGCATCGGGCGGAGCCGAAACACACAGGAGGCAGCTCCAAACAGGCAGCCCTCGCTGAGCGTCCGGCAGCGGTGCGCAGGGCGTGGCCGTGCCCGCAGAGGGCCGGGCTCCCGCTGCCTGAGGCTGAGCCCCGGGTCCGACTGCCGAGTGTGTGGACCTTCCGCACCGGCCCCGATGGGAGCAGCTGTCGGCTCAGTAGCTGCTCCCAGAGAACAGGCTGCCCAGAGGACAGGCACCTCCTGGCACCGGCCCCGGGAGGCCTCGTTTCCTGACAGAGGTCAGGGGAGGAGCAGTCTGGTCCCATGGGTTCTGCCAGGTGCTCCCGCTGCAGTTTCCTCCCCGACCCCCAGCCGGGGCCGCGGAGAAGCGTCGTGAGCCTGTAGCACGAAGAACGGCCTCCCACGCACCACTGACCGCGAGCCTGTTTGTCCTCCAAGATATTTAGAATGTAAGCTCCAATCTCCCGTAGCACACACGTGACCTCCCTGCCAAGGACGGGTATGCGAGCGACGTCATCCACTGCACACGTTCTCTCCACTTGAGAATCTCCGCACGCAGACCCTGCAGCAGGGGTGGCTACACACCTGCACACGCTCCCCCTGCACCCGCACCCGCACCCGCACCCGCTCCCCCTGCACCTGCACCCGCTCCCC